ATATTCTGTTATTATCCCTCACCTGCCATTCCGGAGCCATACCGGCCACTCAGGACGCTGACGTGGAGGGCGAACTGGATGGGGATCATTGGCAGTCGCCTCGGCTTCATGAAGAGATGCCTCGATTTCCGAGACCTTAGGCATGTAAGCCAACAGAGCCGCCAATTGTTTCTGACAAGGTCATCATGATTACTTCGGAAACGTTCCCTGATGGCTGCGATAGATAATGGTGTAATCTACCTCCCTTATAAGTCGCAAAAGCGGGGATTCTCCGGCAGTCTCCACTTCACAGTCTGGACAATACCAACAGCTGTCGCTATTCGCGAGGCCATTCCAGTACTCTTCCCCCAGCCACCGACTCAGGCACACTCTACAAGCCAGAAGTGGTACAAGCCCTCCTCATTATTATCACTGGTGGCTACCTGCATAGCGCCTTGATGCACTTGTCGCACTGGAGTATCTCCCCTCCTTCACCACAAAGTCTACAGTAGATCTGACGAGAAGCAAGGTGATAGACGATAACTCCTCAATTATGAGAACAGGGTCTTTGCTGTTCACACTGCTGACTAGCAGGGCCCCATTCACACATGGTCATCCCCAGAGAGCACTACCCGGCAAGACCAAGGGTGCTACGACTGCATCTGTGTTGGTCTCTAGAAGACCAACAGCCCAGGTAGTTCATGCCTTACTTCCTTAGCATCATCACAATCTCGTTCCCAACCAGTGTGAATGAACTTTCGAGGTATGCCTTGTGATGCCTTCTCAGCTAGCGATGTATCCGGGTCCAGGTAATCGAGGCACCTCACACATGTGCCGATGTCGTTGAACAGGGGATGCTCGCGGAGATGCGCTGAAGTGACGAGCTCAATGGCTACCAACAACATGTGATAAAGTAAGAGGCTGAGCCTCATGCGCTGAGCTACTTGCTATCACGGTGTAGTATCCCACACTAGATTGGCTTTCATGTGATAGAAGGCATGCAACCCAATTCATAAATCGTACGCTAGAGGACCATCAGTACGCAGCCACCTTCCCACCAACTCACCAACTTCACAGCCACATCCACTACAAGGCACAACCGAGGCCAGGCATTCCGTTGTGAGGAGCTCATGCAACCGGTTGCTCTCAGTATCAGACCTGTCAGCATTGCTTGTTGCCATAACAGATTGGGAATACATTCTCCGACAACTTTCCGAATGGCCTACTTCTCCTGCTGGTGCTGTTGGACTCCAAGTCCGGGATCCTCACAAGTATCATGCGAGTCCACGATACTCTCAGGCCCGGGTGACACTGGTGCGCCATCGACAGTGCTCCTGTCGGGCGGCGGCGAAGGGAGCGTCTGAGCGAATAATTGGGCAACTCAGTCCAGTACGTCACCAACCCTTCGCATTTCCTCTTCAATAACATCATCGAGGACACGGTACAGAACAGGCTCAGCATTCACGTTATCTTCATCCTGCGCCTCCTCACACGTGCCAGCTCTGTTCTCTACGGCTTGGGCACCTTCGACAGAATCATCTTCTGGTGCAGCAGCGAAGGGATCTGTCATGGCAAGAACCAGAGGCCCTCTATCATCACCACTCACGATCAACATGAGCCAACTGAACCCAACAACTATCACAATAGCATGAAGGACATCACTGATTGGCCCTGCATGTTCACTACAACTCAGTTTGCCCATCCTCCCGTACACCACTCACCGTCCTGGCAAGAGCTTGCAATGCTGAGAGGCCACCGCGTAACTAAGCTCAGCCAGAGCTCGATAGAGCTATCGATCGCGGAGGCGCACTACGTCAATTTTCTCTATCTCGTTGTGTAAGCTTTCCAAGCGCTTCAACCGTAGTCGTTGTGTTTCAACGGTTGTCTTGAAATTCGCCACCTCCTCTGCATGCCGCTCCCTGTCCTCGCTGTATGTTTGCTTCAACCGCTCTAGCTCCTCCACTGCCAGGGATTTCTCCTTCCTCAACAACTCAGCGTCACCAGCCTCCTTCCGAAACCTATACGATGCCCAGAAGGACGTGCTAATCTCATAGCCGCCACCGCTGTTGCCGTACTTCAGAGCTTCATCATGTGCTGTGTCCAGAAGCTGCTGTGCTTCGGCATTCCGTCGCTTCAATCGATCATTCTCTTGCACTACCCTATCCAACTGCGACGTCTTCATCAAGTCCAGCTCAGCTCTCAGACGACACACCTGATGCCCGCTGCTGCTGCGGCTGACCACCACTGGGCTGTCCAAGCCCTACCTCATCCCTTGACTTGGCTGCCTCTCCTTGTTCTCCCATCAGCAACGTTCTCGCCTCCTTCACTTCTCGCTTTAGAGTTTCGACTTGCATCTGCGTCTTTGAATATATCATCCACTTGCCGTAATCACCCAAAACAGGAGCGCGATAGAACTATCCACAAGAAACGCTGGGCGCAGAGAGGATTCCCAGGTACCGAATTCGCTGCTGGGGATATCGTCACTAATGGACGACATGTCTGCCCATCAGCCTCCCTTACACATTCCTTCTCCGACCGCATTTTCACGAGGAACTCGTCCATTTCCTCCCTCAACTTTTTCAACTCTTTTTCAGCTGCTTGTCTATTGCAACACTCGCGATCTCCTCGAGACATCTGCTCCGCCTGACTGCGATGACTAGATGATTATCGAGGGATCGACTATACGAGATATGCGAATCCCTCAAGAGCATTCACGCCCATATTCCCATGTTGGCCATATATCCAACATGCAGACCAGCGCTTGATGCCAGAAAGTCTACCTTCTCCGCTACAGTCCGTTCCAGCTCCTTCCTACACTCAGCGAGCTTCGCCTTTACTGTCGGTAACTGCTCGGTCTCTCCTCGGAGTTTCTCACACTCCTTATGCAAGGTGGTCAACTCCCTGGCAGTGCCAAATCCGTGGCACGCGGTCACTCTCGTGAGCACTTTTATGCACCTACTTTTCCGCCGCTTCGAGCCTCTCTTCTGCCGCCACTCTTCCCTCCCTTTCAACATCGCAGATGCGCCTCAGATTCTCACACTCTTCATCGAGCTCTCTTGCTCGACGTTCAAGTGTCGTTTCATCATGCCTGACTACATCCCGGGCAGCTACCTATATGCATTTATTGGATTATCAGTTTTGGTAAGGGCTGCTGGCTTCCACGTCATCACAGTTTCGACCAATTCAGAAAGCCCCAACGGACCATTCGTTTCGTGTCTTATTTCGCCAACACACGAGTCATACACTGACGAGTAGAGCCGGTACACACAAATCGCTGCAGAGTTAGGGTCGCCGCTATCTGTATGTCTGCTAACACCAAAACCGCGTTCGAGACTCTAAGACCCGGACAGTCGTCGATCTTATAGATGAGTCGATGAGCTGGCTGCAACTAAATGGAGCCTGGCCGACCTACACGAGTCTCCATTAATTGCAGAGCCTTCTCACGTTCATCCAATAACGCTCGACAAGATGAGATCTCAGCCATCAACCTGTGCATCTCGCGTTATACAAGGACCCCTCAAATTCGACACATATCACTTGTGCAATTCACCGTCTCCCTGCTCTATGATATCCCTGAGGCGCCTCTCAGAATGGACCCTCTCAGCCCAGATAGTGTCCGCTTCCTCATCTGCCATCTTCAGTTGCTTTTTGGTGCACTCTAATTCCTTAGCCAACTTCTCTATTCTGCTTTGGGCATCTAAGTTGAGCTCTGCCACCGATTTCTCACCTACCAACAACATCAAGCTGAAGTAACCGAACTAGGGCAAATTCTAGCAATGACCCCCTCAGCACTCCTCTGTTGAATTCGTCAACACTCGGAGGTACAACAACTACTCTCAGAAGGTATTCGAGACCAGACAGTAACACTGCTCAGCAGATACTATCCGATCACAGTCGAGCGTCGATTCGTACTTTCAATTTTCTGCTTGTCAAGTTTCTTCCTCAACTCTGCCATTCCTGTTCGTTCCTCAGCCAGAACTTTCTTTAGTTCACTTATCTCTCGTTTCGAAGCCTCCAAGCCCTCAGTTGCTGCCTCTCGACACACTCCAACTGACTGCGCTGCCTGATGGCTTTGCTCAGGCCCTACCCGAGGAGCTACGGTGACCTCCGCCTTCTTCAACAATAGTGAGTTCTCTAAGGAAAGTAATTGCACCTACCCAAAAGACATGCGTTTGACCAACATCGACACATACCTGCTTCCTGAGGCTCTCGATCAACATAGCCTCCTCGTTCGAGTACTGTGACGGGGCATCAGTTACCCTCCGAGACTCAGCCGCTCGCATCAAAAGACAACGACAGAAGTAACGGGAAGCAGGAACGCCCAAAAATCGATTCACATCACTGAAAAGATTTACAACACAACGCACGTGTATGATGAGACAGCACGGATAATATAGGGTGAAAAAGGGGTCATCAGACTAGAGTGATAATAGCGGTAATATGTAGATAATGAAACGATTGATTCCCTACTTATACTAACACCATCGAAACTCAGTCTATACCCGCGTACCTTCGGATTTGCAGCGAGACTAGTAGATGATCATGAAAATGACGGCGCTAGGAATGCTGCACTAAAAATACTGCCCTACCATACGGGCATTGAAAAGTTATGGTGACACATATCGTGATATAAGTAAGGGCATAATCAGACCATGAAAAGTGAGACAGATATAAGTTGTGTACTGTCACCACCCACGGATCTATGAAAAAATATGAACCGTACCATCCAGCAATTACTGTTGGGAACGGCTATAGATAGCAACTAATTGATAGATTCCTCAACGATTAATGACAACACTTGTACATGATCGTTTGGATAAAACCGATAACACCTCTGCCATTACTCGATTAGAGGCGATTGAGATTCAGCACGTTCAACGCTCGAGGTCCCTCCATAACATGCTACACATGATCTACAACATTACGGTTACAACTATGACACTACAAGAACCAATAGTCAATACAATATCTACAATATTCTCTTGCAGCTCTATGATGGGAGAACGACGCTGTCAGGCTGGGCAAAATAAGAGGAGGGGGAGAAGCACGACAACAGCTCGAGCACTGTAGTTGTTCATAAGGAACCCCTTTATAACCAACATAAAGAACAATAATACAGCGCTCGTATGCTCCCGCATCGCAATGACGGAGCTACCACAAGCAACCATGATGATGTTGATGGAGTGTCACGAGCCAATACCTCTCAAGTAGGTAGATTGAAAAAAAACAGATGATATAGTGGTCGGGCGTACACCAGTAGGAGTAGCAACCAGGCAATCAGCAGCAGCCAAGACACAACGACAAGCAGAAGGAACAGTGCATGATGCACTGTACCATGTACAATGAGAGTGTGACAATCAAATTCATAGTAATCCTCCGACAACGACTTCCCAAAGTGGAGACGGTGGTACGGAAATGGCTATCTGTTGATATCATCTCTATCACTGATGATGCCGGCACTTAGGAAGCGGCAAGATATGAGATGAGGACCAAAGCTCTATGATGATTCCCTGACAACACACGCAGTGAAGCATGGCCTCGACACATTCTCCACTTCGTTCTTGTACGCTATGTACTCTTCCGGTGCTACGTACAAACGATAATCTGACGAAAATGTGGCACCGCCGAGGTTCGAACCCGGGTCTCACGGATCATTTCGAGAAATGAGGCTTCCAACGAGTTAAGCTCTCTGGTACACACCCCTCCAACTTCAGCGTATCTTTTATTCGCGTAATAACAGTCGTCGTAATACTTAGCGGCCAAAGTTAAAGCTGTCAGAAACAATCTAAACACATCCATTGCACACTCACAATGTCACCATAACTGACCCTCTACTTCCAACTTCAACCAAACATGCTAATTCCAACCACATCACGCCCGAGAGTCCTCCGATGAAATCAACGCTACAACACATACCCAAGTCCTCAGATAGCCTCGAACTAGAGCGCCTACTTTTCTCTGCAATAGATACTCCAGGGTCTTACCTGTGCACATTCAAGCGTGTGATGTTGAAAATTGTGGTATGTTCTTGACCAGTGACCGTGACATCAACATCAGTGTCCTCCGAATGAGACGATTCCTTCACAGCACGATCCAAATACACCAAAGCAATCACAAAGCATTCGCCGGAGCAGTGGAAGAACTTCGATAATCGTATAAGATAATCGGAAATTGAGATACCTGTCCAAGAGCATCAGATAGCTTAATACATGTAGATGAACCTCACTTGGAACAGCGACCGAATGGAACCGAGATCGCACAGGTTTGTTGTTGTTGCTGTTCGCCATGCTCTTCTCTCTCTCTTCTCCCAGCACAATAAGGTGGTCCAAGACTCTCGACAAAGACGGCAACTGAGAATAAACCACCACAAGTTGCACACTCAGCAGTATTCGACACGTCGCTAGCAATAAAGACGATGATGTAGTGATGATCAGGTTTACTCACAAAGCAGTCAATATCTGTTCGGTCCGGAATGTCTCGAGATGATATACCGCGTGGGTACTCCTCTTCAGAGTCGTCATGCTCGAAGCCCAGACGACCGTCAGAGGTATCTTGTGGGCTCGAACAAGGTTGAGTCGATGCTTTGGTACTCGGACCACTCGTCCCCGTACCTGCCAAGAGGCAACCTGCCAAGACGCGAACTGAACTCATCACTTGTCGGGTTTACTTTCGGGTGATGTCGTAACATTGAGTATCGATCGACAAGCATATGCGTCGCCTCTAGTTGTTGCTCGCAACCATCTGTCACTATAAGAGGCGTAAGATGAGGACGGAAAGCTACAGCAAGCCGCCATAGCGCCGCAGTCGGCCTTCTCAACTCGCTTGAACGTGGTCTTGGTCTCCATCATTGTAGAGTATCTTCGCAGTAGCGTGGTATGTGGATCCCTGCTATTATTCTGACGGGTCCTTTCATGACAAAATCTCTCGCGGTCCTTATTGCCAACCCAAGAACGAGGTGATATGAAGGCCATTGCAGACATTATCGAAAGCCAGTCGACAGACGACGGAGTTGAAAACCTACAACTTCACACACCGTTTCGGAGACTACCCCAGAACCGACCATAACCAGTGACATGCCAGAAGCACCGCCTGTTGCTACGATCGATTTACCAACACGGTAGACACGTATTCAGGTGAGAACTACTAACTTGATACCTCTGACAATAACAAACTATCTCGAGTCCTCTACTTTGAAAAGTAGTGGAGCAGCACGCCTGCGAGAGTACACACGTACACGTAATAGAGGATTCGTATCGACAATAAGATCCTCATTGGGCACCCGCGCCCACCATTCTTATGACTTTAATTGTCGTGGAACTCAAAGACAATGCGCATATTGAAAATTCTGTCTTAACAGTAACGATGATCGCACTGATAGGAAAAGTGCCACTAGTGATGGACACCTCGTTATGATTATGATGACTAGTTCGATTTCATCTATCTTGTCACAACTCTCTATTGCCTCGGTCCAGGAACCGACTATCGAAGAAACCGTACCGAGGCTTCAACAACGAAGTCGACAGAGAAAAACTACCACGAAGTACTACAGTAAAATAAACTATTTTCCATATTAACAACTCCAATTGTTCATACCTATCACCATGAAGACGACCAATCATAATAGACATGACCAGACATATTCAAAAAGCATCCTTGACCACTGTTATTCGTATGAGACACACGACTCTCAGGAGAGCTCGAGTTAGACGGTGCTGAGTGCCCGACATCACAGTTTATGGTTGCACACGAGTTGGCACATCGTGCACCATAACAAGGAAACGGGGAAAGAGCAGTCATCCATCAGAATAAGGTTTTTCCGATGCCCTGGGACAACTATGCTCAGCGGCCACTACTTGAGATGAGATGGCCAGAGTAGCAGCAATAGACCAACTAATGTACCGACGACGCACTCTTTCAACAGAAGAGACCAATCGGCTCTATCGAGAAGACGACGGAGCGAAGCATGCCGAGCTGAATGAGTACATAGACCAGAATTCCAAAAACTAGCAAGGCAGGCTACCATCAGCATGGAGCCTCGCACATCGAGTCTGTTAGCAATGATCATCAGAGCAAATAACGTGATAAGAGATGCAGGTGACCTCAAGTAGGAGTGAAAAAGTTCGGTCATTCTAAGGACCACGAGAGGACCGACACCGACAATATAAATTAAGTGGTTTCTTCAACACATCCGACAGCGTTCTCTACCAAAAAGCTAGATACAAAGACAAACCATGTACTCGATGATTATTGTGATGATAACGGATGATACTCAAGCATGAGAATAGACCAGTGATGAGCCTAGTAGTAGAAATCATAACTCTTCAAGTAATCATCATCTGTGAAATATGCAGCCAATACTGCAAAATTATGATGAAATAGATGTTGGAACGAGTGTTTCTGACTACTACAGCGAACTCGTAGCAACGAGGAAAAGTGAGATGATAACGAGCCACTCTGGAGATGCATCCCAGAGTTAACCGGTAGAAGAAGAAAATTGGAGCATGAACGACGAAAAGCGACCGACCGATCTCGAATATTAACATGTACCGAAGTGCGACACTGACCATCATATAACACTATCATTTATAAGCCCTTTTTAGTAATCCTACTTCTTCCTACACGTATGACAATAACCTCTAATGATAATGAGGCCTTCACCAACACTGTGACGGTCTAGAAATAAGACATGCTCACCACGAAACACTCTCGTGGAAGCAATGACGATAGTACTAACTAGTGATAGTGTAGTAAGCTCAGACATCCTAGTTGGATGCAGAGTACATGAAGTAATGCAGACAACCACAAATGCTGTGACCGCGAAGACGATCAAAAGCACTGATGAGGAAAGGGGATCTCTCCCCGCACTTTGCGCAGTAATCATATATGCGCGATTAGTCGATCAGCGTATGAGTGCTTGTACTGGTCGCTGCAGTAATGTTACAATAAGACACGGAATGGAAGACGTTATGGAATATGATGTTTTATATTCAACAGAGACAGCGACAATACAGTGGAGAATTATAGCAAAATAACTCCAGTAATAAGACACTTAACTTTACATGATGACTTCCAATGTCCGTGATAAACACATAGTAGTGCTCATGAGGACAAGGGGCGAGTTGAAGAGTGCATCATCAATTGAGATAGTAATATTCATCGGGACCGTTGTGTCACGCACAAAGCCATATTAGAATAACTCATTATCCGACTTACCCGACACGTTACCAGGTGTATTATCATCGACAATCCACGAAGAAGTTGTGGATTCGCTGCAAGTTCGACTTAAACACCGTTTGCCATCAACATCATGCAAAGGGATTGTTGCTACCGGGCTCACACTGAAAATGAGCTCCCAATAGCACACGTATTCTTCTGGTCCCACATAAAGCGAGAAGTCTGAAATGACAGCACAATATGCAACACCAATACTGAATCGGGGAAGTTCAACTTACCGACGAGCTTGAGCATCGTAGCCTCTAGGCCATTAAGCTCAGCAGTCGAAGTCAGACATCCAACCTCTGCATATCTTCTATTAGCATAGTAGAAATCATCATTGAACTTGACAGCTAGTAGTAGG